ACTTGCCTGGGAGGATAAAAACATCGATTTGTACATCGGCTGGCCCCCGCAAGTCATTGTATAGGCCACATCGCATTCAAACGCCACTACGAATGTACAAATGGAAGTAGAATGCGTGCCGCATCCCAAAACGGGATTGATCAACGGTAAAAAAGCTTGTATCCTAATTGTTCTTGTATCGGACAACAGTTTTGTTCCCCGTTAACCCACGGAACCAAACCTACAAGGTAACAGCGACCATCCAAAGCTTCATATTTGAACCAGATCACCCGCTCCTGCTACTGCAGGATATGTTTTTTTTAGATGTTTTTTGAATTTCAATTTCAAAAAAATCAAAACTTTTCAACCAGCGATATGATCACCGCTCTTATCTGTAACGTTAATCCAGGGAGCCTTCTGAGAAAAGGTGATGATGAGTTCTCAAAATTCTCATGCAAACGGCTACGTTCAGATACGACGCAAAGAAGGGAATCTCATCGAAAACCCAATGGCGAAGACCCGGAAATTCTCCAGCAACTAAGATTTGGTACAGACGCGTAGTTCCTGTTGAGGTTGTATCCGAGCTGCAGCCAGTTTCGTTTTCTGTGACATGGATGCCCAAGGACGGTAAGAGACTTATCGCCAGATAGGATTTGCACAAATTTATTCTTTTTCAGCTTGTTCATGCGAAAATATATTGGAACGTAATGCCATCGCCGGTAGGTGGAAGGAGCTGACGTCACCAGATTATCCGCTGCCCTACTGTAACAACATGCACTGCACCACGATGGTCACAGCTCCAGCTAGGTGAAGTTATCAAGAGAATCTGCAAGCAGTTGCTCATTTTTAATGGAGAACCATCAAAGGACGGCTAGCACTCACGGCTCAATCCCTCTGGGATGCATGCATGCATCTGTTTGAGTTCCGAAAAGTGAATGCATGAAAATTTCCCAATAGATCGCGGTTAATGAAAGCTGCACCTTTGCCATGTCTTACAGTGGCTCCATACTCTAGCTTCGTAGTCGATAGAAATGAAGCTCAGACAAGGGTTGGACCATTAGGTTTCAGAGTGATTGGAAACTTGCGAAAAGTTCACATAATGATATTTAGTAAACAACTTACCTAGCCACTGAGCTGCATATGCTATGAGCAGTTCCTCACCCTTCCCTCACCCCTCTTATGACGAGGAACAAATAGCTACGTGGATTCGAGAAATGCTGTGCTAGATCGCTAGGAGCATATCCTTAGATGCGAATGGCGTGTCGATGCGCGCCCTTAGGAGGATCCGTCTGTCCCTCCACAAGGTTAGTTTCCCTTTCCGAAACATGAATAATATATACTCCTTGCAGGCATCACGTAGTGTTGAACATCACCGACTTCTACACGGAATCGCACAGCGATTTCTTGGCACTATATGATGGTCGTGACATCACTGAAGAACCCATGGCAGTGTGAGTCACAAGAAACAGTTGGATTCTCCATTAAGAAGAGTGGTAACAGCGTTCTCTACTTCCCCAATATTGCCTCTGGGAGCCATATTCATTCGGAAAAATAGGGGAGTGGGATCATCAGTGGGGGTTTTGCCTTGGCCTTGCAGTTGTAACAAATTCCCAACCGAACAAACTTTACCGGAGGTGGAGAATCGGTCTTCTCGATAGCTATGCACCTGCAATAGGGCGCAAAGTTAAAGCAACAATCCAGGAACGAATTCGCGGGTAAGGACCACCTATAATGACGTTGCAGGTGAGAAGTTGGTCAATGGAGAAAGAAAAAGTAGAAAAAAACGTCGGGCAGGGGCTTAGACAGGGACTCCCCCTGCCGTTTAGGGAGACGTGTGTTGGACGAGTTGTCCGAACCTGCCCGTAGTACATGCGCTCCAATTGCAACTGCTGGCAAATAGCCATGCATGCTTGCAAATACATAACTATTTGCCAGCAATCGAAATTGAAGCGCTTCAATTGCGTTCTTATGGAATCGACCTATGGAAGCG